AATTGATTTAAATATTATTGTCTTTATGTTAACATTTGTCATTACACTCATATGAATATTATCATAATTTTTGTAACATATGAGCTTACTTTACAGTAGTTATATTTATATAGAAACCCCATAGCTTATGCATGGTTTTAGCTTCCATGATGCTTTCCTGAGGCCTGAGGAACTAAACCACTGACTTTTTTTCCCTCACCAAGTACCTTTATACATTTCTTATCAGTGAGCAGAATAATAGCAACAAAAAGAACTGACCACAGTACAACCTGCCTTCCATTTTTCACTAATGACATTTTTAGACTTATCATACTTGGATATGATACATCGTGACCGCACTAATCCCTGACTTCCACTCTTTCTGAAACCTCTTCTCAACTGGCTCCCACTCGTGCTCTCATGTCCCTCTTATTTCCTCCATTTTCTTTCTTCTCAAAGACTCCACACAGACAGTCGCAGCTTCTGTATGGATTCGCTGACTATATCCCTCTAATAAAAAAATCCAAAGCCAAATGGACTTTTTAAATTTGGTTATAGGAAGTTATTACTTAAACTCAACTAGAAGGAAGTGTATAATATTTTAAAATTAGCATGCTGCATAAAAAGACATTGTATCATATTCACAAAACTCTAAAAAAGTCAGAAATCTCCAACCAGAAATTTATAAAAGTCAAGACAAAAAGGTTAAACTAGATGTGGAGGTACAAGTTTTTGATTCCAGTACTTGGGAGACAAAGGCAAGCAGATCTCTGTGAGTTCTAGGCCAGCCTGGTCTATTTAGCCAGCTCCAGGCTAGCCAGGGCTTCATAGTGAGACCTTATCTCAAGCAAGCAAACAAAACAAAGAAACAAGCAGGCGAAGTTAAATCAGTGACAACATTGTTTATTTAATCCCCTCAAAATTCCCCATCTCTATTAAGTGGTCACATTCACAAATAGGGGTTCTGTGAATTTGGCAGATAGCAGGAAATAGAGGATGGTTGGTATGAAGATGCAGCTGTGGCCATCTGGGTGTAGACTGGGCTCTTGCTCCATATAGCGGGCTGTCATGTCAAGGTCTCTTAAACGACAACCTAACCCATAAGTAGAAAAGGGTCATATCTGTCTGTACATAGAAGAAAGCATCATATCATACCACATATATCCAAACTCATTTGTATGAGAAAACATACTATCTTTTTTTTTGAGACAGGGTTTCTCTGTGTAGCTTTGGTGCCTGTCCTGGATCTTGTTCTGTAGACCAGGCTGGCCTCGAACTCTCAGAGATCTGCCTGGCTCTGCCTCCCGAGTGCTGGGATTAAAGGTGTGCGCCACCACTGCCCAGTCAAAAACATGCTATCTTTGCTGAGCAGAGAATTAAATGCAAAGATTTTTTTAGCTTTAGTGTGTGTGAAAAGCACTTTTGTTCCATGCTGTCACAGTAAGATCAAGAAATGACATTCAAAAAATCAGGCACAGTGGTGTTCACCCATGAGTCTAGAATTCACAAGGCCGAGACAAGAGGATTGCACTGAGTTTGAAGCCAACCTGATCTACGTAGTGAGTGTGAAGCTAGCCTGGGCTACAGTGTAAGACCCTGCCTCAAAAACCCAAAACAATTCAAAACAAAAAACCAAGAAAAGAAAAAGATACCACTTCCAAAAAGCCACCCCCTTGTGATCCTGCAGTAGATGTTACACAGTGGTTAATGCTTAAGGACCTGGGACCTCAGGGAATGCTAATGTACTTGAGTTTGTAAGTCAGAAGTTTTTCAGAATCCCCAGAATCTACAACGTAGTTAGAATTGTAATTATTTCTACCTACACAGAAATGTATTCAGTCATTGATAAAAAACATTTTACTAAATGTTGTGAATAACATGGTCAGGTGAGCATAATCATGTTATCATTTGTGAGGGATTGGCCTTCTTAGAGTTAAACCAGAGGGTTTCCAACCACTGAAGATGTCAGTTGACATTTATTTTTTGGCCATTAGTAACAAACAACGATGTGACACAGACAGCCCCTGACAAAGGTCCTACAGTAGCGTCTTTATTTGTATGGACAGAATCCTCACAGGTACACAGGCTGAGTCAAAGGCCTTACGAAGCTCTTCGGTATTTTACCGTCATCTTAGCAGGGTCAGTAGGTTGTGTTCTCTAGAGGCCACTGGCCTCTTCTAGCAGCAGTGATTCAGATTGCCCCTTTCTCTTAATTCTCATCAGTAATAAGTGCTGATGTTGCTTTAAACGTTTCTTTGTCTGATTTATATCTCATTACAAACTACAATTTGAATTCTCTAGAGTACCAATGGATTTGAACATTAAAAATTGTCTATTTATTCTGTTTATTTGTTTATGTTTTATTAGTTGTGTGAGCACTTGCTAGTCTGGGTGGGTGCATGTGGGTACACATACATGTGTAAACCCAAAACTGCATCTCCATCTTCACGTTTTTTGAGGCATGGTCTCACACTGAACCTTCAGTTCGTTGATTTGGCTAGGCTGGTTAGCCAATGGGCTTCAGGGATCCACCTGTCTCCTTTAGTGCTGGGCTTAGAGGCGTGCACTACCACCACTCGCTTTTTTATGTGGGTTCTAGAGATCTGATTGCTGTGTGGCAGGCACATTACCTCCTGAGCATTCTCTCCAGTGCCTTTAAAGTTTTATTTCAATTCATCTTGTGCAAAACGCCTTTTTGTAGCTTTGCCCAAGTGTTCCGTAGACATTATGCACACACATATGTGCGTGTGTATATGTATATATATATGTATAATGTATATAGATATACATTAACACTAATCACTGTTCATGCAATGCAGAAACTTTAAGAACTTCATGTATATGTGCGCATATATATGTGCATATAATTAATTCCTTATATTTTGTGGACATTATCACATCAGAGCATAAATATTTGTCTTTCTTGTCACTACAATGTTGGTGATTGAACGCAGGACCTGATAAACACTAGATAAGTGCTCTACCCCTAAGCTACACCCCAGCCCAACACTTTACATTCATAGACATTCCAAGAGTTCTATCTTCTGCTCTGTGTCTCCATTGATATTTCTCATAGATCATATATAATATTTCTATAAAACTCTATTCTTTAATTACTAAATTAAAAAAAACAGAAAAATGTACCTACAAACTCATTTCACCATCTTCTAAAAAATGTGTAACTTAACAAACTTTCTTGCCTTCTCACTTCTTAAGTTTTTATAATTTTGGTTGAACTCTCTTCATGGAAGACCACTGTACAATGTGAATCCAAACATGCCTTGTTTAAGCATAGATATAAATGTGTGTAATGTATGCTTTGAGTGGAAGCCTGTTTCCTCAAGGCGTGGCTACCACCTATGCCTCCACAGTTTGTATATATTATACCCTTTCCCGGATGGTTCATATTTCAACTATGATCAAGATTTGACTTAAATGTCACACCTTCTTATAATCTCCCTAATCTTTCTAGATGAATTTTCTTCCATCTGTAGTGTATTGCACAATCTTTATCATTGAGTGAATTATACAAATATTTTAACTGCCTGACAGGATCTCTGTAATGTTTCAAAATATTTATTTACCCTGTTTCTCCTTAGCCTTATAGATGAATCATTGTTCTTGATAAGCAGACAGACAGACAGACAGACAGACACACACACACACACATATACACACACACACATCTTAGCAATAGTTGAGTCATATTTACAAAGCGTTAATCTATGTCTGAACATAGATACATATTTATAAAAACATACACATATGTATATTCATCTGGAAACATATTTGTATATGCAATCTTTTCTCTCTAGTACAAGAGGAGTTGCCTGTCTCAAAAGGAGTGTGACTGTTTTGATTCACTTACCTCAGTGGATTATAAATTATCATTTTCCTTCTCAGTGTGCCTCTGCATGGCTCTCTTTTTTGTTCCAGGAACAGGAAGATATTTAGACAGAGACGTTAGTCCAGCAGCATTAAAATGATATGAATCATTGGAATTTTCTGGAAGGAAGAAGGTAATTACTGGGAATATATGTCAGCCCTGGCCTCAAGTATCTGAGAAGTTCTTTAAGCATCTAAAAACTTCCCACAACTAGGCAGGCAAAAGGTGTGAGCTAAGGGCCCAGCGCAGTTCCTGTTCCTTAAATAAGTGTCTGACAGAGCAGCAGCAAAGGACCGTAGAATGGAGGTGAGTCCCTCTCAGAGGGCTCCTTCGTGGAGCCAGGACAGTGAATGCCAGGGTTTCCTCTAGAAAGAAAGATAATGCAGGTGGGGAGGGGGAGGGAAAACGGAGTCCCACTGGATGGGTATGGAAAGATTCATCTTCTAGACTTTCAGAAAAATATAATAAAAATCAAACTGAAGGACGGATATGACAGGGAGTGGGAGTGGATAAAACTTTGATGGTAAAGACGCAGGGGAGAGGATGAAAGAAGATGAGCTAGGTGACCGGATGTAGGCACTTCCGTGCAGCACATGTGCAGTAGCGATAACACTGTGCTGTGGGCAGGATTTCTGCGTGAGAGGGTGGAAATGCTCACTTGCTTCGATTTAGTAACTTTTATAGCACCTCTGTGTTTACCATAACGCCATGTTGTAGGCCTTAAGTATACACAGCCAAATTATTTTTAAAAAGAGAAAGCAAAGAAAATTTAAATTGTCACCATAACTGTCTTTTAGAAAATGGAGTTCTGATTCAGGAAAATGAGGTCCAATGCCGCTGGGTCGGTGCACCCGTTTCGGCGATCAGCCTCTGAGGCTAGACACTTCCTTGTGGCTGCAATTTATGATCTCTAAAAATGATTTTCAGCTCATTGCTGCCTTTCTAAACGTTTTGAGTGTGAGCCCAGGCATTAACGGCTGAGCCATCTCTCTGTCCCTCATTTCTTCTTTCCACGCACTACAAACTTTCCATGACGGAGTTTTAGAACTTTTTCAATTATTAATCGATGCTCAGCCTCGATTGCAGGCCCTTTGTTTGAAGCTCCAAGCTTTAGACCCTTACACAATCCACTGACCTGAGGACTTCAGCAGGTCCAGATCGTCGGCCCTCGACTTCATCTCCTGGTATTGAACTCGATGTACCAAAATCTCTCCTCTTGAGGAAACTGACAACAGAGGTTCTGGGTTACGGATCAGTGGGAAACCAAGCCTCCTTCATCTGAGCCTTTCACCAGCAGTTTGAACAGTCTCAATCTCTACCTATGCGTTGTTTTCAACCAGCCTGCTTGTAAGAGACAGACAATCCTCTCCAGCGATGTAACAACCCATTTTCCTACCAAGGAAGCCAACACTCCTCTGTGAGTGACTGAAAGTGTATCCTCTCCTTCTGTTCTCACTGCAAAGACCCTTTTATTTTTCACCTCAGCTATTCCTGTCAAGGATATGATCCCACTCCAATCTTCATGCATGCTGTCTTTCTTTCTTTTTTTAAATTCACCTGTTTATTTTACATCCCGGCTGTAGCTCCACCCCCCGCCTTCTCCTCCCTGTCCCTTTCCTCTATTACCTCCCTCCCACTCCCCAATCACCACCTTTGCCTTTGTCTCCATCCAGGAAAGGGCTGGTGTCCCACGAGTATCAACAAAACATGGCCTATCAAGTTTCAGTAAGGCCAAGCACCTCCTCATATATTAAGAATGGGAAAGTCAAGCCAGAAGGAGAAGTAGGGTCCCAAAAGTCAGCAAAAGAGTCAGAGACAGCCCCTGTTCCTGCTGTCAGGAGTCCCACAGGGGACCAAACTATGCAGCTGTAACATACCTCATGCAGGCTCTTGCTGAAAGGTCCTTCTCAAGCACAGCTTGACCACTTCCCTTCCCTCCCATGCTAGGCTAATGACCAGGCATCCTTGTAGCCTCAGATGCAAGGCTTTCAAAAGTTGCTCCTTCCCTCTACACTAGCCTGGCAAGCTGCTTCTCTCTTCGATCCTCACTTCACTGGACGACAGCTGTGTAGTCCTTTATACTTCCCTGCACTTGCGCGCGCCCTCTTCCTGGAATGTGTCTTGCCCAGTTATCTGCACCATCATTAAAACCCTGTCAAAGCCTTCTTAGACGCCTTCCACCCTCTTTTTTAATTTCAGATAATCTCTCTCTTCTCTGTGTCACCTTGTTTCTCATTGGTATTAATAAAATGCTACACTGCCATATATCTATAGTCTACTAAGCCTGAAGTCCATTAAACAAAAACGTTATTTTATTATCCTTTTCTTCACTTTTAGATCCTAGCACATTGCTTAAAAGAATAATGCAATTTTACATTAAGGTTATTATGGTTAGAGAAAATCAAATATGAACAAACCTTCATTCTAAGTCATAAATTGTATATTAATTCTAAACTACCAGTTCCATTAATGAACTACTCCAATTAAACATACCAAATGTAGAACACATTATGGTAGCCAGAACTTTTTTTTTTTTTCTTCTGAGGAAATTCTGTTCCTTATATTCTGAGGAACTCTTCAAACCTCTTATAACTCCCTGCTTTCCGGTCACTTGACACTTGAGTAATTTGTTTATTTAGTTATAATCAGCCCAAGAACTCCTTTATTCTTTGGATAAGTTAGAGAGATCATAATTTGGCTCAGACCTGTAAGCCGCTGTATCTGTCTTCGCTTCAGAGCCCACATGAGGAATGTGATGAGAAGGATCAGCAGAAGGGCCCCACAGATCAAGAGTGCAGTGAGGACCGGGTGGCCTGAGCAAAGGGAAATATTATGAAAGATGGTAAGTCCTCAGCTGCTCTTTCGTTGGTCACATACAGGAGTCCTGGAGCAAAACTCCAGCCCTCAGAACTCCTTCTGACCCAAGGTCTTCTAAACAAGAGGGATTCTAAATAATACAGACCCATGCTTATAAATTCCATGATATACCTGTGCCATGCTTTGATTTTGAAGGCGTTTCTGCAGGAGAAAAGAGAAAGAGACTCAATTCTGGGGGCCACAGATAAAGCGAACATCAATATTTCCTTGTATGAGCCTTCACTGCCTCTTAAGCAAGTGAACTGCATTTTCCAGTCTAAAGCTTGGGTCTCTCAGTCGCTTTCTCTTTCGTTGGTCACATACAGGAGCCCTGAAGTAAAACTCCAGCCCTCAGAACTCCTTCTGACCCAAGGTCTTCTAAACAAGAGGGATTCTAAATAATACCGACCCATGCTTATAAATTCCATGATATACCTGTGCCATGCTTTGATTTTGAAGGCGTTTCTGCAGGAGAAAAGAGAAAGAGACTCAATTCTGGGGGCCACAGATAAAGCAAACATCAATATTTTCTTGTATGAGCCTTCACTGCCTCTTAAGCAAGTGAACTGCATTTTCTAAACCAAAGCTTGGGGTCCCAGTCCCTTGTCTCTTGCACAAAGATATATTGGTTGTATGTCTGTTCTGTGTGATGGCCACTGTGTAACAGTAAATGTTTTCAACTTTCCTCTAAATAGAAACACTGTGATTGTCTACCTATCAGACCCCTGTGTTGCCAGATCAAGCATGAATGCATCGTATTTTAATGCCTGGATCGTCTTGGCAACCAAAGAGTCCTGCTCAATCCAGGTTGTTGACACTCACCTAGGAGGCACTTCACAGAAGCGTCTTCCTTGTGCCCACAGTCACTGTGACTCCATGGTCTGGCAGGACAATCCCACAGGGAAGACTCATTGCCTCTGCACTTCACTTCATTGAGCCATATCGGCCCAGTTCCTGGACCAAATGCTGCTTCTTTTAGTGCCTCCACAGCTTGACCACAGTCCAACTGCTGACATACAACCTGAGCATCATTAAGATCCCAGGAGTCATCACACACTGTCCCCCAGGAACCTTTGTGCCAGATCTCCACACGTCCAGAACAGTCTGTATGTCCTCCCTGTAGTCTTATTTTGTCTGAAAAAAAAAAAAATCAGAGACATCTGGGCTATTCCTGAAAAGATGAAAGCATCTAAAAGGCTATAGGAGAACAGAGATTTGATTGCTTTAAAAACTATTTAATGTATACTGTCAAAAGTTCAGAGACTAACAGTCATAAATGAAACATCTATATTACACTCCTCACTTTTAAGGCTCAGGGACCATCCTTGGGAGAAGAGTCGGAAAGATTGTAAGGACCAGAGTTTGGGAAAGACTGAGGCAAAGCAATATTTTATGGACATGGGAGGACCATTGCATTCACAGCAGCTGTGGCTGTCTGCAGAAGATCAAGCCGATCAACATTCCAGCATGGAGAAGAGAGGGAATAGTTCCTCTAACTGAGGAACTATTGACAGTTGGTTGCTCTTGGAGGCTGGTGAGTCAGTTTTCTTAATGGATGTGATTCCTGGTAGGTTGACGACGCTTCAGTAGATGGTCCTATACCCATGAGTATATGGGCAGCAGATTGGACTCAAGGGTTATAGAAAAAAAGAAAGAAAGAATAAGGGCAGGAAGTCAGAAGGAGAGCTAGAATGTTGAATCTGAGAGGAGTTGGAGGAGGAGTAGAGGGGTGAATACGATAAAAAATGTATTGTACACATGTATGAAACTTTCAAAGAATTAATAAAACATATAAAACTATGAATTAAAAATTATATGCTCATAACTTTTTAAATAAAAGTATATGTCCTTTCATCAAACTGGATATATCCCATCAAATGCTTGGCAAATGCGACCACATGAAGCAGAAAGCTTCTGCACAGCAAAGGACACCATTATTATGGTGAAAATGCAGCCTACAACATAGGAAGCAATCTTTTCTAGCTATAAGTTCTGACAGGGGACTGGTATCTAGAATACAGAAAGAACTCAGGAAACTAAATGTCAAGAAAACAAGCTACTTGAAAAACAGGGCAAGGAACCAAACAGAAGGTTCTCAAAAGATGAAATGCAAATAGCTGAGAAGTATTTAACACTCTGAGCTATCAGAAAAATGTAAATAAAGACTACATTAATATTTCATCTTACCCTAGTCAGAAGAGCTAAAATAAAAAACAAAACAAATGACAAAAATGCTGGTGTGGATTTGGGGAAAGGGGACATTTACTCACTGCTGGTGGGGGAGCACACTGAGCAGTCACTGAGGAAATCAGTGTGGCAGTTCCTCAAAAAGCTGGAAATAGATCTACCAGATGATATAACTATTCCGCTTTTGGTCATATACCCTCAGGACCCCTATATCTTATTACAGAGATACTTAGTGCTACTCTAGTCACAATAACTAGGAAATGGAAACAACCTATATGCCCACCAACTGATGAATGGAAACTGAAAATGTGGTACATTTACACAAGGGAACATTCTTCAGCTGTTATGAAAAAATGGAATTTTCAGGTAAATTGATGAAGCTGGAAACAATCATCCTGTGTGAGGTAAGCCAGACCCAGACAGACAAATGCCACATGTTTGGTCTCATATGTGGATGCTAGCTTTGAATCTTTAGACATGTGTGTTTCATTTGAAACACTCATGGAGGTCAGGAAACTAGAATGGGACTATGGGGGAGGGGAAGATATTTCATGGGAGGGGAGGTAGAATGCAGTGATACAGAAGGAGAAAAGGGATATGGAAAAAGAATGGTTAAATGTGGGGGCAGATGGGAGGGCAGGGTAGAGGAAGAGTGGGGAAGCATAACTGATACTAACATCCTTTTGGAAAAGTTGTGGAAGCTTTCTAAAACACACACACGGGGCTGGAGAGATGGCTCAGAGGCTAAGAACACTGACTGCTCTTCCAGAGGTCCTGAGTTCAATTCCCAGCAACCACATGGTGGCTCACAACCATCTGTAATGAGATCTGGTGCCCTCTTCTGGCCTGCTGTCATATATGCTGTATACATAATAAAAAATAAAATCTTTCAAAAAAAAAAAAAAAAAAAAAAAAAAAAAAAAAAAAAAAACACACACACACACACACACACACACACACACACACACACACACACATACATATATAATGAGTGTAAGCGGAGTCACACTATAATGAGGAGCTAATGCCCCTTCTAGAGACCACAAGCTAACAAGTAAAACCCCAGTACCAAGAATGAGTTATCTCTTTTTGATTGGTTGGCCAGTGGGGTCCTATAGATCTCCTACATTATAGATTATTGACATTACTCTTGGTTACTCTCCAGAATTTCATGGTGGGACCCTATTGCTGAAGATGTTACATACTTAAGTCACGGACATGGAGAAATCAAGCTGGTATTGATCTAAACGCTCCATACCCTCTAGCTAGTTTTCACAGTGCTGGCAGGTACTGAAAAAGGTTATGTCTGGAGTGCAGGAGACCCGTTTGGGCATCTCTTGGTGCTGCCATGTCCTGTGATTAAAGTCAATGGGAAACTAAAGCAGCCTGATCCAGGCAGGATGACACAGGGCACAGACTTTCAGGAATGAAGATGTGGGTCACTGCTCTAGGAAAAGACCCAAGACTTTCTGAGGTACTTGCCGAGGGTGTTTTTTTTTTTTCTTTTAAAGAGAAAGCATTCAAATAGAACTTTCAAATGCAGAAATGTGAATGTCTGGAATAATGATTACTGATAACGTCTGGAATAATGTTTACTGATCTTGTATGTGTGTCTATATATACATGTACAATGTAACAGTCACATAAAACCAACTATTCCAATCCTAACTACTGTCTGGAAGTTAGCCATTCTTATTTAATGAGACTTAAAAAGTCAATCCAGGGTGTGAACAGGGATATCAAATTTCATGTTTTCTCAGAAGCTGACAGTGGAGTAGCAGAATGGAAACTTCCTGTTGACAATGGATACTCACTGTCACAGATGATCCAGGACTCCTCAGAAGGGCTGGCCTGTCTCTGTTTCCACGGAGATGAGGGGCACTGCCACAAGGTGTCAACTCCTTCCGGACACTGCACATTATCTGTCCACATGAGCTTGGATGGTGTCTTGTCTGAAGATGTGGGTTTCATGGTCCCCTTGTCTGCACAGCCCAGCTGACGGCACACCACTCCGACAGTGCTTGGAGACATATTGCTGTTGCTGACACTTCCCCATGTACCATTGTAAAAGACTTCCAGGTGACCTGCGCAGGTCTCGCTAGGAACTTCATTGGCCAGCCTCAGAGACATGAACTCTGGGGGAAAAGAAGATTTGATGGTTTCACAACTTCTCTGAAGAAAATACCTCTTTTTCTGATGAAAGAAAAGCTGTATCAGATATAATGTGTCAACTCCAGTAATTCATTAGTAGCCTCTGGATAAAGCAGTAGATCTTAGTTGCTGTGATTGATTGATAAATAAAACGCTGGTTGGCCAGTAGCCAGGCAGGAAGTATAGACAGGACAAAGAGAGAAGAGAGTTCTGGGAAGTGGAAGGCTGAGGCAGAGAGACATGGCCAGCCGCTGTGATGAGAAGCAACATGTTAAGATACCGGTAAGCCATGAGCCACTTGGCAACTTATAGATGAATAGAAATGGGTTAATTTAAGATATAAGAACAGCTAGCAAGAAGCCTGAGCCATTAGGCTATACAGTTTGTAAGTAAAAAAATAAAAAAGGCTGAGAGATTCTTCAGTCCCTTATCAGAAGAGCCCTTTGGTGTGGGACAGAGAAAAACCCAATATTTTTATAAATGCAATCTCTTTCTAAAGAAGAAAAGGGGATAGTATAGATATGACAGGATAAAAGGGTAGATTGTTGAACCTACTTTTAAAGAGCAACAACTTGTTTGAAATGGTTTACATTGCTGTAGATTTGAGTTTACTGATACAAACTTGAAGTTAATTGTGTTGTACTGTATATATATTTCTACTCTCATTTGAGGTATCATGTTTAAGTAACTCATTTAGAATGTAATGGATAATTAAGGAATACAGATTAATAATTAGTCTACTATGATAGTCTAACTTGTAGCATGTTAGTTAAGTTTTCTAGGTATACGTAGATGTATTTCAGATAGGTAGGTAATCTTCAAACACTTCAAAGACCTACAGAATATGGCATTTAAAATGTTTTAAAAATTTAGAATTTCTGGACAGTGAGACATGTCTGCTCCTGGCAGCACCGATTTACTTCAGATAGAAGTTTAGGCATCGATGACACTCCATATGGACTTTATCTTATTCTTGGCAAAAATAGCTATTTGGGCAAGAAACTGTTCTTGCCTGCACTGCTTGAAAAAAATGTATTGACTGGACATGCAGGACCCATAGGAAGGTGATCACTGAACTTTGCTTGGCAAAATGGTCCTTCAGATTCCTGCTTTGCAGAGGAAACTGCCAGACATTCTACAGGACACAGAGAGAAGTGACTGAGAGACTCTAGGCCTGTGGGTGGAAGACAGATGCCCCAACTTTACAGAAGTACTTTGGATGACTGTCCAGGCTGCCAGCTGACAAGACTTCCATAAGTTGCTTGAGTCCTTCTCCCATTTCTCAGATAATATCCTTCTGAGGTCTTTGATGTAGTTGAAGATTAGATAGTTATAATTTCCTTAGTTATGATAAAAGATAAGTTAGATATGAAACGTTAGACTCACAAATAAAGAATAGATAGGATATCCTCTTTAATTTTGCCAAATACAAATAGACTAGATATTATATATAGACTAGATATTGTAACTGTAATTCTTGCTTGATAATTGTTTTGTTATATGTAATTTTACTATGTTAAAGTTAAAACCTTCCTTTTTGAAAAAAAGAAGAAAAAGGGGAAGTGCTGTGGATGATTGATTGATAAATAAAACACTGGTTGGCCAGTAGCCAGGCAGGAAGTACAGGCAGGACAAAGAGAGAGGAGAAGCCTGGGAAGTGGAAGGCTGAGGCAGAGAGACGCTGCCAGCCGCCGTGATGAGAAGCAACATTTCAAGATACCAGTAAGCTACAAGCCACATGGCAATTTATAGATGAATAGAAATGGGTTAATTTAAGATATAAGAACAGCTAGCAAGAAGCTTGAGCCGTTAGGCCATACAGTTTGTAAATAATATAAACCTCTGTGTGTTTGCTTGGGTCTGAGGGCTGCAGGAGCCAGGCAGGAACAGGATAACTTCAGCTACACTTAGTAAAATAAAGTATTAGTTCCTATATACCATCTGGCTTTTTAATCTGGAGTTTTGTACTTAGAGTTCTCTTTTGAAGACTACCAGAGCTCTGAGATGCTTGTGAGACTCAAAGCCTCCTTTGAGCTCTTTTCAATGAGAGAATTCGGATTTTTTTTCTCCCTAAATGACTGTAATTTTAACCTGAGAAGTCTTATTCAATTCTTGTTTGTTTTTAATTGACACATAAACTATGTATTTTAGGAATATGCTGTGAAGTCTCAGTGCTTATATGTTCCATTCTGTGTTCAAGTCAGGTCTTAGGCGCATGCATCATCTCAAACTCTTAGTGTTGGTATGGGGCTTGAGGCAATGTCTTTGATACTGAACATTTAATGGATGCAGGTGATAAAACCAACATTTTGTGTACTTTATCTTAAGAGGAAATATTTCCTTTTTGACACACTACTTTGCAACAGATGCCCTCTAGCAGGTTTCTGTCATTAAATAGGGATCAGTTGCTTCTGATGTAGAATTGTTTCATTTTATTACTTTACTGTCTTCCTCAACACACTGCAACTGGGGGCATTTTTCTGGTTCGTGAAAGTCTCTGAAGCTTGTTATGTGTACAAAGTGAGAGTTCTTTAGGGTAATATTTGCCCTGTTAGCAAATAAAATTCATTTATCTGCTTTGAAGATTTATTTAAATATGGTAATTATCTCTTTTCTTTGAAAATATTATATTAGTGTTCTTTCTGTTCTTTCTAGTCTGCCTTATTAATATTGTAACTATCAAATGAGTCATTGATACCACATGGATTTATAAAAGCATTTCACTGCTAGCATTTTTGTGATACTCAGACTCATTTCTGTATTTCACTCTTTACAGGATACTAGCCGACACATGAGGTTGTAACAACACATCAAGCAAATGCTTTAGGGCTCCTGACTTGGGAAATAACTGAACAGACTATTGAGGACATATTTCAGGTTGATCTTCACTACCATTTGCTCCTTAGTCATTTAAAATGCAGTTGTGACCTGGAACTACGTGCAGAACTTACCCGAGCAGATGACACCAGCATCCTCCTTGTGCCTGCAGTTATGGCGCCCCCAGCCATGTGAGCGGCATTGCCAAATGTGAGATTCTTTGCCACTGCAGTTGATCTCATCTAGCCAGATATTCCCTGTTCCTTCCTTAAAGTAGGCAGAACCTGTGGCATTAATAGCCACACCACAGTCCAGCTGCTTGCACACCACACTGGCATCAATCAGATCCCAACTGTCATCACAGATGGTGCCCCAGGAGCCATCATGATAGACCTCTACTCTCCCAGCACAGCGACCGCCTCCACCTACTAAACGAAGTTGACCGCTTGCTGGAAAGAGAAAAGAAGACAACAGTAAAGCTCATTTTGTAAAGGATTCAGATCATTTTCATAGATCGGCCACAAATTCTTACCTATGCAGGGAACATCACTTTCATTTGGAATGGTAGAGCTTGTTGTCTGGACTGAAGACGATGAACTACATGGCTGCAGAATCTGGGACTGGTTTCCTGAAACACCAAAATTTTCAGGCATGTAAGGCAAAAGGTCATGGTGATGAATGAGGGTCACATGGAGAGTCCTACAGATGGTTTGAGGACAAACATAGCTTTAGAAAGAGGAAGGAGGATGGCCACAGAGAAAAGGGGAGATGGATGGGCCACCTGGAAGTGAAGTAGGTGCTTTGAGAAAGCTTAAGAGACAGGAAGCCAGTGCTTCTCAACCTGTGGGTTGTGACCCCTCTGGGGGACCGAATAACCCTTTTACAGGGGTCACATATCAGATATCCTGCACATCAGGTATTTACGTTATGATTTGTAACATTAGCAAAGTTATAGCTATGAAGTAGCAAAGAAATAATGCTATGG